GTACACACCACAAAGTACAGAGGTGGAACAGTGGCCCAGCTTGTGAGAGGGCTCTGCAGTACACAGTGGGGGAGAAGATCCACGGGTTCACCATAAACCAGGTACGGGTCCGTCTCCGCGTGCTCTTTCCAGATCCATGTGTGCACACATGTGGCTTCTGCTAGCACATGAGGTCCTTTGCAGCTGAGAACTGGGGTTTTCAGCCTGTGTCCCCAGGCTCTGGCACAGCCCCTGTTTCATGGTAGCTGCTCAGCTGAGCGGAGCTTGCAGATGAAATGATCCCCAGACCCTTCTCTGAACCCCTTGAGGCCTGACATCTTAGCAAGTAACACTCCTAGCAGGGTCATTGTCATCAAACACACTCGTGTTTCTGCAGCGAAACCTGACTGTTACTCTGAGTGTGGTCCACAAAGACTCAGTGCCCCATATCTGTTCAGTCGGATTTTGCCATCAAATTGTTTGCTCTAAACTTACAGAGTCTTTGTTTTCTGAGCGATTTGGGTTTCAGAATTACAGAGAAGAGATCATGGGCCTGTATTTCCTTAGGTTTATGTTAAAATGGATTCATGTGTTTCTTGTTTTATTGCATAAACCTTTCACATTGCACTTTTATTTAATAGAATAACCAAAAACTATGTACTTCAGGTATTTGGCTGTCCATTGGCTTTATGCTGTGCGTGATGCTGTAACACATAGACACACAGCTTATGATCCGGAAGGACTCACATGCAGCTGTGGCTCGAGGCCCGGCGTGATGAGCATCACGGAAATGCCGGGGTGGGGGAGGAGCATGTGGAGGCCGTGGCATTGAGAAAGGAGGCAGTCTGTCCTTCGGCGGTGGGGTTGGTGCCCCGGGGGCTTTCGGGCAAGGTCCAGGCACGGTGAGTCATGAAGGCAGCGTCGGAGCATTCATAAAGTTCCCCCAAGGCCACGCGAATCGGTCAGGGTTTATAATACAAGTTACTGTCAATAGGGCCTTTTTCAGAGTGGTGGATTCTTTTCCTTTATTTTTAAAATTGTATGGAGACTTATTTTGTGATAAACCATGATTCTTGTTTGAGAAATAGTTACTGTGAAAGCTGTTATTAGGCAGACATCTCACTGCATCTACTGATTTTAAATACCTTGATCATCTATTACAAAGCACAGTCAACTTGGAAACGTAAATAATTTAACAGCTGTAAATTATGCAGGCATTAGCAGACCACTTTATGCATGTCATTTTCGTGACAAGGCCACTAGATGGGGCTCACAAGACCCGAGGTCTCAGCTCTGGAGGTACTAGTGTAAGAATAGACGGGTGACTTCCATGGTACCTGGATGAAGGGGTGACGAATGATGTCGCTATCACAGTGACACAGTGTGTAATTGAGGGGAAGAGGACCAGCTGACCTGGGTGGAAGACAAGGCAATTCCCTGAACACCAAGGACTGTGAACCCTTACCTGGAGGTTCACCTAGGGGGAGAGACGGCCCTCGACCCTGGGAGTGAGGATTCGTTCATTTTTAGTGGGACACTGTTACCCTCCTGGCCCTCGCACTGTTCTAGAGCCCCTGGCTCTGATCTTCCCACTGGGGACATGTGGCTCATGACAGCCCCAGCGACCACTGATGGGTCATCCTCAGCGAGAGGGAGCAAGGTTGTTCCCAGGAGCGTCCTTCCCTGCCACAGGCTGGCCCGCTCCGGCACGTGCCTTCCCTGCAGGGCCGTTCTGAGCACCACGGGGGCTGTGTGTGTAAAGGCGGGAGGCACGCGGCAGACGGTCCAGATGAGCCGTCCTATGCAGGCGTCTCATGGAAAGGCGCAGGCACTGAGAGAATCTGGCCCTGGGCGTTCTGCACATTTATTCCATCACACTAAGCCTCAGTTTTCAACTGTGAGCGGGGGTGAGAACACCTTCCTCATGGGATCATGCGCAACGTGTTTAGAAAATGCTGGCAAACACTAAGTGCTCGAAAAAATGTATACATTCTCATCAGCCTGTCTTAGGTCGTGATTTCCTTGTTTGTGGGATAAGGGATTTGGACAAGATGGTTCTGTCCCTTTCAGCTCCGAACTGCTGGCTTCCTGGTGGCACTGCCTAATTTAAGGCAGAAAAGCCAGTTCTCTCAGTGTGTTTGGGATAACCATTTTGAATGCTGTTCCATCTAAGTTTAGCTGCTCGCCCTGTTCTTAACTCAGGTGACGTCTGTTCCGGAACTGTTCCTAACCGCAGTCAAGCTGAGCCATGACAACACAGGAGCGAGGTACCTGCACCTGGCCAGAGAAGACACGAATAACTTGTTCAGGTATGGG